CCGCTGATGCGCATGATGCTCGGCCCCTGCCCTCCCCAAACCCCCGCTGATGCGCATTTCAGCAAGTCCAACGGAATTTAATTTCGTTGGACTTGGACTAGACCCTGACCCTCCAATAGACGCTTACAAGGGGTTTCGACGCTTACAAGGGGCTTTTGTTAACACAACAAGCCCTTAAGTTAAGAGCTTGTTAAAAGCATGAGCGTTTATGTGCAACACAACAAGCGGTTAACAGTCGCTTAACAAGCGCTTATATTGTGACTCATATATTCGATGAGAGCCCATGCATTTGTCCTCCCTCCCTCCCACATGCGTGAGGCCTTATCGACCCTCCCTCTCCGAAGCACGGATGCGAAGCTTGGTCGACGAGCGATTGCTTTAAATTGTTACACGGCGAAAGGATGCACACGAAGATTTTGCTGTGCATGCGAGCTCAGTCGAAGTGTGGCACTGAGAACTCAGCACTGAATTTGTTCAGCACCCGAGTAGCAATTGACCACTGGTTGACAGGGCCGCCTTTGGCATGTGCAACCCGTGCCATGGTTCCACCTGCCTCCTCATCCCTATACACCCAGTTGTCAGACGGTTTGTCGCCTGCCAAGGCGATTTCTGCAAGCATGTGAAACTTGGGTTTCATGACCCATTTGCCTTCCTCGGCCATTGCTTCCAAGGAAGAGTACTGACGTAGGAAAGCAAAACAACATTTTCGGAAGTAAGATGGTTCCCACTTCAAAGCTGACAAGCAATCGTAGCATTCCACGAGATACTTGATCGCCCAGCGTATGGCCGACTCGAACACATCATCCCGATCCAGCTTCTCGTCTGCGATTCTCCATGCAAACCTCGGGTCAATCGCATTTCACAGTCGCAACAATACCTAAATCCTACTGTATAGATAGAAAGCAATGCTTCGCCCATGAGGCAAGTTGCGGAATCATGGCTCTCGTCTCCGCCGCTCTCAGGTTCATTTTCGGCTTCTTTTTGTCGGGTTTCTTAATCATCCCCAGGGTGAGCTTGCCAATGCAATCCTGAATGCCATTGTCCTTGTAAAATTTCTTCATCTGCAGATAAAGCTGGGCCACCTGCACTTTCTGGTTGTTTCCTAGTTTAGGAAGCACATGCCAGTATAAGTTCCCTATGCAATCTTGGGCACATCCCAAGTCCATGACGTGCAACCAGTCCATCTTGAAGCAAGTCGTTGTAAAGAAAGGATTGCGGAAAATGGAGGAGATGAGCCTTGCCTCGTTCTTCTGCCTTAGCAAGAAATCCCAATGCCCATATCTTTCCAGCATCCAGGGTGCATTTTCAGAACAATCTTTGTAAGTGCTCAAACAGGCACTGCATCTCATGCAGATGCCAGTCTTGGCTCCCCAATGCGGCAGGCCAAAAACTTCAGCCAAGCACTTCCAATCGGCTCGGAGTTCTGCAAGGATGCATCTATGTGCGATCGTTCTGCCGGCGTGCTTGTTTCGCCACGGTTCTTTGAAAGGTTGGCCGTCGTGCCGTTGCCTAGGCATGATTCCCAACAGAAGCTGCTGGCTGGACCAAGCCATGAGATCCCATATGTCTTCGAAGCTCTCGCCCTTGGATATATTGTTCTTCGGCAGACCAGTCACCGGAAACCTCCAAGTGTGATGCGGGGCAGGAAGCTGAGGCAGACTCATCAGGATGACTTCGAGGGACGTAGATCTATCCCAGTTGAAAGGCGTGGCATCTGTCCAAAGCGAGAAAGGAATGACATGAACCCCGAGTTTGCGGGATGTCTCCAGGCAGTGGTTTTGCACAGACTGTGCACAGCATGCCAAGTCAGTGAAAGGGTAACCGGGGTTTTTTTGAAACAAAACATACAAGACTTCATGCGGCAGCATAAAGGCAACATCTGCGTATCGGGTGATCTCGTGCTTCTCGTCCCATATGCGAATTTCTGCAGTGTATATGGGTGGCCACTGGCTTTTCTTGAGACATCGTCGTAACATGTCTCGAGAAGCATTCTTGCTCGATTTTTCTGGAGCCTTCTTGAAGCCGGTGAGGCCGCATTCTGCAGCATCAGTCTCGAGACCTGCAGCCTCGATCGCACTCAAGCTGGAAGACAGGAAAAGGTTGTGCACCCTGTTGCGAAGCCTTTTAGATGGGGATGCGATAGCCCCCGGCTTGCCTCGCTGCTTGTTGTGAAACATTGCAGAGCTTGAGCCTTCCAAAGCCTTCCAAACCTAGCATCACTCGCGAGCAGGCTCAGCGACATGGTGCATCTAAAGCTTGCAGCACATTGTTTTGCGACAGCCGCAGGGCTGCAGCCAGGCTGGGCGAGCCAAGGTACCTGATGAAGTTGCAACTGCGTGGACGACAAACCAAAAAGCAAAACACAATGCACAAGGTGACGGCGTGCAGCTGGCTCTTTTCGCACCAAAGCTGTCAAAACTCGCAGTCGATCTCGCACAGTGGCCGATCTAGGGGGGCCTAGAGTCCCTGGCACCTCTTGGGCCCCGAAGTCGATCTAGCACAGTGCTCGATCTAGGAGGCAGTCAAGGTCTCGAGAATGCTTTGCAGCTTCTTGGCTCCCATTTGGGATCCTGCCTTGTGTTCCTTCATCGACGTGGCCAAGTCACTGGCCTCCTTGAGGATCTCTTCAGTGCCCTCAACGGATGCCCACATCCCGGTCTTCACCCGGGAGTCGGCGAGTGCATCCTTGGCCATGTTCATGGCGTTCTTCAAACCCTCCAAGGCTTCGTGGCCAGGCGACTTTGCCTCCAGCACCGGCAGCAGGTCTGCCATCTTCTCGGCGGAGCTGCTAACAGCACCTGGGTCCATGTGCAAGGAAGAAGAAAACAAAAGGTTGCTTAATATTGAAAACGGCCAAGAAAAACCAGAACTGATTAAGCGAGCAGCGGTTGAGGTTCTGGAGGTCGTTGATTGCCACCTTCACCTTGTCCTTGAGGCTCAGGGACTTGCTGTCGCCATCCATGCTCTCCTTCACGTTTCTGGAGGTCTTCTTCTCCATGACTTCGGATCTCTCCAGAGTGTCGGTGATCCGCTGGCCGCCTGCCCTGCCTTCGAACCAGTACTTTTTTTCGCCCTTCTTCGACAGGAAGGCCTCTTGCGGACTCTTCAGGTCCCACTGGTCCTCGCTGGACTCGAGCTCGGCAAGCATTTCTTCCAAAAGCTTGCTTTCGACATCCATCTTCAGGCTGTCGGCGACCTCCCAGCGAGTCAGCCAGCCGACGGTGGACTGGCGAGAGCACTTCGTCTTCTTGGACTCCTGCTCCGTGTAGTTCTGGGCCCAGGCACAGGAGCGGTCTAGCTTCCACTTCTGCACTATCTCCTGCTTCCGGCTGTCGTACCTTGGAAGCAGTTGATAGAAGCTGAGCAAGTCTTTTTGGGGACCACCCTCGGCAGCTTTCATCCGGCCCAAGAAGTTGGACACGTCGGCCTTGCTGACTGCCAAGGCCCCTTCCGTGCCTGCCGTGCCTTCAGGAGCCTCAGCAGGATCAGCAGTCGCTGCCGACTGCTTGGAACTCAACCTTCTTCGTTGCTTCGGCGAAGGCTTCTCGATCTTGACCTTGGCCTTGTCCTTCGCCTTGGCCTTCGCTTTGACCTTGGGCACAGCACAGGCCACTGCCCCCATCGCGAGGCACGAGTTCGCGACCATGAACGACAAGAAAGACAGCATCTTCTACTGCTGTCTCAAGGGAAAAGGACCGGCGACGTTCACGGGCGGTTTGAACCAAAACTGCTGCGATCGAGCAGAGTTCAGGGGAACATTGTTGCGAAGAATGGTACCCTAGGATGCAAGTTCGCATTTTGAGCACTTGCAGTTGGATCCTCTGGCGATCAAAATTAGCTGCCCTTGCAACCTAGCTAGATCTATCTTCTCGAGATCCTCCGCCTTTTCGGCGATTGTCCCAAGACCAGAGTAGCATCGCTGTCGGTCTCATAACTGCTCTCACTTCTGGCATCCTCCTTCTTCTTCTTCTCGGCCTCTTCCTCTTCCTTCTCCAGCCTCTCTTTGTTGGCTTTCAGCCAGTCTATATAGGCCATGACCATCGGGATAGGATACCGTTTCTCTTCCTTTTCATTCTTCTCGGTGGCTGGGAGTGCTGCAGCCTCCTTGCAATGGCCTTTGTCCGCCATGGCTGCAGGCTGTGGCAAAAGTGAGTAAAATTTTGAGCGACAAAATCCTGCAAATCGGCTCTGATGCTCTTATCCGCCCCTCCCTGCATGGTTCCCTCCCGCCCTCCCTATACAGAAAAAAACCCATGAATCCTTCCTCCCTCCCTCTGGTCCATGGGCACTGGTACACATCGATGTTCTTGATGCACACCACGATGCTCTTGATGCAGCCTGCAAACAAAAGGGTTTAAGCATTTTAAGGGATTGGAATAAGTTCTAAGGTTGCAGGCCTTGAGGGTGCACGGGCTTTCAAGGGTTTTAGGCTTTAGGTTTTTGAAAAAGAAGGGTTTAAGAGTTTAAGGCTTTTCAGGGTTTTGAGGGTTTAGGCTTTAGGGGTTTTAATTTCGAAGGTTTTAGGTTTTAGGGGTTTTAAGCGTTTCGGAAATTCGGGGTTTTAAGAGCTTCGTGGTCTCGAGTTTCAAGGTTTTAGGGGCCTAGGGGTTCAAAGGGTTTCGGGTTTAAGCGTGCGGGGCCTCTTGGGTTTGCTAGTACTGGATTGAAGGGCTTAGGGTTTGCAGGGTTTTTTTAGGGACTGGGGGATGAAGGGATCAGGTTTGGAAACTATAGTATATATTCGTATGGTAGTATGTCGTATAGTAATATAGTAGTAGCGTAGTAGTATAGTAGTATAGTAGTCTAGTAGTATAGTAGTATAGTAGTATAGTAGTATAATAGAATAATAGTGTAATAGTATACGAGTAAAGTGTTATAGTAGCATGGGAGTAAAAAAAACTAGTTTTGTAGTCTAGTAGTATAGTGGTGTAATAGTAGTAGTAGTAGTAGTAGTAGTAGTAGTAGTAAGAGTATATAGTAGTAGTAGTAGTAGTAGTAGTAGTAGTAGTAGTAGTAATAGTAGTACTATAGTAGTAGTAGTAGTAGTAGTAGTAGCAGTATAGTTTTAGTAGTAGTAGTAGTAGTAGTAGTAGTAGCAGTAGGAGTATATAGTAATAGTAGTAGTAGTAGTA